ATGACATGATGTGAATTGGAGCTATAGAAATAAACTAAATAGAAGTGAAATGTCCAACCATCAGCTTGGGACTGCAGCTTAAAAAGCATTTTCTAAATGAAATCTATGGCCATAATGGTTGTCCATGTTGGGAAGGCCTCTGATTTTCCCATTGAGGTGTAAAAGATTGATTTCTGTAAAACATCGGTTGCAGATGATGCTGCCAACATTTTTACAAGAAGTCATCAACTGATGGGCAATTATTTATTTATTGGGTAAGATTGGTTTTCTTTGTATTAAGTAACAGTGAAAACATTTGAACCCTTGCATATTCAACTTATTTTTCTGATCATGTAGATTTAGAGATGAAATTAAAAAAAGTTAAAACAGAAGAAAAAGGTAAAGAGTCAAACTTTCCTTTACAATCTGCACCGTCCTCACATGACGCTGGTGAAGGCTTATTAAGGAGGATTGATCAGAACAATTATAACAATCTAAACCTTCTGTAATCATTTAGCTTTTAAATTTTAGATTGCTGGATGTTGGATCCAGCGACCAGAGTCTGTAAAATACCAGAGCAGTAGAACCAGACAGAAGTGGGATGAGACTACGTGTCTGTCCTGCTGGATTGGAAAATGTAACTATCTAAAAAGGAAGGTAAACAACAGAGACCCTGGGATTCAAGCCATGAGGGCCGACCAGTCAGCCTAAGGGTTAATCCCTTGGCCAACGAGTCACGGCACATGATCAGTCAGAGGCAGAGTGACAGGACCCTCCTCTGCACCCACAACCACATTGTCATGTTCCATGCTGGCTGCCATTTAGGAAACCATGGACCGTTTACCTGCATGGCACATGGATCCTGGGGCCTGGGCGGGATTGAATCCCCAGACTCCCAGGTGAAAGTCGTGCACGCTGACCGGTCAGCCAATGGGATAATTTATTGGTCTAAGTTGCCACATAAAGAAAGGAGACTCCATGGTGGTGGATTATATCAGGCTGAAGGTCGACCTCCTGATCAAACACCTCTGGACTCAGAGCTTTACTGGTTTTGTGCGTTTGGAGCATAGCTTCCAGGGCAGTGGACTCAGGACAACGCAGGATGAGCTTCAATAGTTATTATTAAATCAGACTGATCTGCAGGTAAGATCAGGAAAAATGAAGGACTCTTAGCAAACAGGTTGAAGTTTGGCTTAATCTAAAGTGAAGAAGACCTTCTGGCAAGAGAAAAACTTTTAATAAGAAATGTTCCTTGGACCCTCTACCAACCAGACTGTTGAACACAATGTGTATTTTGGATTGAGAGGAAAGGATCATTGCTGACGACTGTATGTCAGAGAAACCGCAGCAGTCTTACGTTTGTAGTTAATTCTGGTGATGGTGTCTCTGTTGAGCATTCGGTTGAGGAAGGAGTTAGAGTTCTCTGAGAGCTGCAATGGTAGAAAAAGGAGTCAAACACAAATGCAACACAGATATTTTGACTAAAGACTGTATGTGCTGCGGAGCTGAATCATCCTGAGCTTCCTGGTCAGGTCTGTTGTTTTACAATGAAAACTTTCAAAGGGAAAATCCAACCTTGATGAAGATGGAGACCACAGCAATGCCATGGGGGCTCTTAGCTGCCTCGCTGTAGTTGGCGTACAGATCTTGATTATAATGGATCAGTTGGACCTGAAACACAAACAGAACGAGAGCTAGCAGAACCCATAGGTTCATGATCCATGTGTTCTGTTCTCCATTATTTACAGAAACCAATGTTGCTATCAGGGGTTCAAGAAAAACTGGACTGAGATGATTTTCTTTGGTAACACTGACTGCCAGGCAGGATGCTGCTGTTGGCCTTCATTTGGTCGCTACGCTGTTAGAAAATATGGACACTGGATGATGGATGGACAAGGACTCTGTCTTACCTCTCCAGGAAAGCCTTGTCCATTTAGGAGGTGCTCTGAACCGAGAGCATCTTCACTCCCAAAGTGGAGACGGACCTCTTCCAGTCGGTAGCTGTAACTCAGAGGTCCTCCAGAGATGTTAACCAGATGTGTTTTGTCTGGCCGCAGTGACACATGCTTCCCTGTGTTGTACATAGTTCCACCCATCTGGAAAAAAGACCAAGAAAATAGAAAGTCAGTAAATCTACTGCAAAAGATGAAGCCCAGATATCTGCTCTATCCACAAATCAAGGAGGAAACAAAGAGATTAAAAGCAGCCTAGCATTCTAGCCTCTAAGAAATGATAGAAACTAAGGTCTGTTACCTCCATCTTTGATCACAATGATGCTGCCAGTGCCAGAAAATTCCCCAGGGTTCAAATATCTTTGATAAAACTACATAAAACACTTTCTGTCCAGGGGTGATGCTGAGAAACTAGTCCATGCATTTGTTACTTCAAGGCTGGACTATTGTAATTCTTTACTATCAGGAAGTCCA